GTTTCCATCAATTTTTGTTATGAAATTAAAGGTGAATTTATAAGGAATCTAAATATGTTAATAATATTTTTCTCAAAGAGGAATAAATAAACAAAAAATTGTTTAAAAAATTTTTTTTTAATTTTTTTATTTAAAAATAATTTTTTTTTTATTAACTTTATTTGCATTTTAAAGTACATACTTTTATCTGAAAAATGTGTAAATTCCATAAAAATCTATAAACAATATTCCGAGATATTCAAAATTTTATAAAATTAATATTTAAATTTAAAATGGCGTATCTTCAACAATTTTGAATTTTTTTTGAAAAAATTTGGGGGAAAGAAGTCTTTTATATAGAACTATAATCCCACGAAGTTTTGCGAAAATCGGCATACCCTTTGCAAATCGTGATATTTCTGACGTGAAATGCCTCAATTATTATAGATAATTAATAAATAATAATTAAAATGTACAATAAATATTCCTGACACTGCATTATATGTAATACTTTTCTTAAGTATGTTAATTTTTAATATTAATTTAATTAATTATTATTTATTTATTAATTAATTATTATAATTATTAATAATTATTATTCAATTAATAAATATTATTATAATTAATAATAATTATAATATTTATGTTACGGCCGAACTCCGTAACTTTTTATATTGTTAATACCTTTTTTAATTATATTAAACTAAAATTACATGCAACAATTACACGCAACATGAGATTTTGTTAAACATCACAAAAACATTTACACAAAATACAACCCTTTGTAATTTCACAAAAGGGACATTCTTCTTTTTGAATATTTAAATCTAAAGTATTTTAATCGGATAAAAATCTAATTTTATTTAATTAATAGATTTAATGAAATTTAACATTCCTTTGAATTTCACAATTTCGAGGTGAAAAACCTAAGAATATAACAGGGTATTTCTTAATAAATTCCTTTCTTGGACAAACAGTTTGTTGACCTTTGGAGAAATATCTAGAAAATATAAAAGAATAAATTGCCCAATATAAGGAGTGGTGCATCCAAGTCACTGAACTCGGATCACGCCACTGCCTAAATCTGCAAGCTTGCAGAATTGGCTTGGCAACAGTCAAGTGCAATAAACTTAACATACGATTTCCCCACTAAATCGTCTTTCAATAAAATTGATTGACACTGGGAAATCTGGGCAGTTTAAGCCAGGCCGTTGTAGCCGGCAGTTAGCCCGGGCAGTTTGGGCCCGCAGTTTAGTCCAGGTCGTAGTCACCTGTAGTTGTAGCCGGCAGTTTTGGCCAGGCAATTCTAAGTCTGGCAATCGACCGTGTTCAATTAAATTTTGTAATCCCTGAGCAAGGGATTTCCTTAGAAGTTAACGGGTTTAATAAAAAGTTTGATCAGAAAAGTGAATTTGAATTGAGAATAAAAATATAAAGAAATAAAAAGTAAAGAAAGGTTGAATTTAAAAGTTATATTGAGAATAATAAAAGTGACAAGTGAAAAAGTAGAATAATTAAAAGAAAATATAGAAAATAAAGTCTTTATTTTGTGCAATAAAAGGAATATTAAGGTTCAAGACGAAATATCAATCTAGTGAACCTAGATTGGGTATTTCTTTAGTTTTTCGGAGATACAACGCGAAATTTACGAAGTCAGAACGTGTCATTGAATTAATATTTCAAGGAGATCGAATTACTGAGTAGTGAGTATAAAAGACTTACACCACATAACACACACTACAAGTTCATTCACACATATATAAAGTACTTTCTTTACACACATAAAAATTAGATTACTTGTATTAGGGACTTTTTGGGTAAAATATATAATTCATGGTTTACATCTTAATTTTGCATTTTAATTTAAACATCCTAATTAATTTTCCTATCTTCTCATTTTTCTTTAGAGTAGGGTTCTCAACCTCTTAGTTGAATCAATAACTAAGTAGAGGGGGAATCCACTACCTTTACAATTTCTTTGTCCGAAGGACACGTGAGTTAAAGTTTTAAAAATTAATCTTTTAAAATTAAATTTCTAAATCCTACTTTAACAATTTAACATTATAATTCATTATTATTCCAAATTATATTTATTTAAATAATATATTATTAATATATCTAATAATAAATGTTAATAATTTTGTTACTGAATAATAAAAAATATCAATTATTTATTGACGTTTATTAAATTATCCATTAATGAATATTTTGAATTGTAAAATGTTTTAAAAGTTGAATTTTGTAATGATTATAATTTTATTATGAATTACATATTTAATATTCATTTTTAATAATTTAAATAATTCAGGATTAGTATGTGTAAAATTTTTAGTCATAGTTTCCACTTTGCCCTTATAAGTAACAAAATATACGGCACTGGCAATAATATATTAGATTAGCCCGAGTTCTCATCGAGACTCAGTGGCCATGCGGTTTAAGTAGTTGCGTCAAGGACTTCCGGAATGCGTCTGGGGCGGGAAGACGTGAGTTCTCGATCCCACATGAGAGCGGATTTTTTCATTATAAGCGTTACATAAAATAATAAAATTACTATTTAATCTGTAGGGTAGAGTGGGATAAAAAAGCCATGGTGTAAAAAAGCCATTTGAGTTTTATTTAAAAACTATTAAGCCGATTTATCAGCTGTTTAGAATATAAATACTATTAGGTAATACGCAACTTTTGAATCTAGTTTGAATGTTGTACCTAGATTAATATTGTTTTTATTGTAATTTTAATTTTTTGTTGCTTTTTTGAAAACATTTTGGTGAACTTTTCAAACATATTACAATTTGATTAAGTGAACGAATAATAAAAGTAAATGTTTGTACATAAGGAGAAAAGTATACCGAAAACGTATACAATGTTAATTTTTGGAAATTGAACTGAATTAACAATTTATTTTTGCTTTTTTTAATAACTGGTCTTGGGTGTAAAAAAGCCAGGGCAAAAAATCCATTGAATATTTTGTGAAATTCACTTGTTTTCTATTTAAACTAACCTTCTTATTTTACAAAATTTCTCGTGTTTATTTAATAAAATAAATTAAACACGACGAAAAAGTAGTTCAAAGTGCATTTAAAAAATAAACAGTGAATAAACGGTTGCAACGAAATATGTTATCTGTGGTAAAACTTAAAGAGAACTTCTAAAAAAGGTACGAAAAATTGGCAGTGCAAATGGAAAACAGGTAAAATTAATATAATTTTCAATTTTGCTTGCTAAAAACTCTTTCATAATTATTAGAATATTTTTCAAATAAGACTATTTGTCATATAAATAAAGGGAAACTATAAAAATACCTAAATTGATAACATGTTTTGCTAAAATCGTAGGGTGGCTTTTTCACCCCACCAGGTGGTGCAAAAAAGCCACTTACAGTGCTTTCGTAAAGCTCTTATAACTTAGTCCTTTCATGAGATAAAAAATATTTCCGTCAAGAATTTTCAAGCTTAATAACTAAACTTTCAATAACAATTGGAAATTTGAGAAAAAAATTTTAATTACAGATTTTACAGCATCAAAAGTAAAAATGTGGCTTTTTTACCCCACTCTACCCTATAATTAATAAGTGTTGTGAATAAAAACTTGTAAACTTGTTTGTAAATAATATTAAAAGTCTATGTTAAAAATGAAGTTAAAAAATGTACAAATTATCACAAATTGTCTTTTTTTGCTAAAATTATTTTTCAATATTATTATGTTAAATGACATTTATTGTTAGTAATATAATATTTATATATGAAAATAATATAATTATTATAATAATAACTTATTGTCATTAAATATGTAAATACATATATATATATTAATAACAATTCTGTTTATTATTAATAATAATAAATATATTCACGTTATATTGAATGAACGCGTGAGAAGCGTGTAAATTTGGGAACAGTGGAAGCAGTCTTGTTCAGTCCTGCTTTCGGCTTCCGCAGCATTGATTGAAGATTGAACGCCAATCTTCAACAAAGACTAAGCGTCAAGTTTACATCGATGTTACTACAGTGGAACCTCGATTATCCGAACTAACCTAGGCAAGGCTGGGTTCGGATAATAGAGATTTTAATTTTTTTATATAATTAAAGTAAAAAAATCGTAGTTGAATTATATATATTTCATTTAATCCATTTTTTAAATATACATAAGTATATATACGTAAATATATATTAATTCATAATAATATATTAATTAAACATAGAATTCAGAATTTTTTAAGATTTTTCTGGCATAAATATCGTTATTTTCCTTTGAAAGATTCGGAAGGTCAAAAAAAGTTCGGATGATAGAAGTTCGGATAAAATGATTTTCGGTTCGGATAACAGAGGTTCGGATAATCGAGGTTCCACTGTATTCCGGACTGAAGCAGCCTTGCTTTCGCTGTCCCACCAAGCTTCAACCAATACTGACCAAGCCTCAATCAAGCTTCGTGAAGCCTGAACTCACTGTCAGCTCGCGCCTGGGATGACGATTTTTTAAAAATATCTTAATAAAATATTGACCTAATGACTTCTAGAAGATCTAGTTCTTTTCAAAATTTTATCATTTTTCAAAAAATAAAAAGCAAAAATTTTAGTTTTTATACATTTTATGTTTTAAAATGTTTTTCACTCACCTGAAAATGGGTCTGTCAATTTTGACCGGTAGTGTAAAAAAAAATTATTTAAATACTTATAATCTATTGGACTACGTTTTAATATATCAGTAATTATTAACTTCTTCAATTTGCTGTGATCTAAAATACTTGTTTTTCATATTTTAATAGTATTATATTTTCTATTAAATTTTCTTTATCGCCCAAGAAATCATGCAAATCGTTTTGTACTTACACAATATCTAAAAAAAATATAATTGAAATAAAAGCTGAAATATGAAAGGAAAATACTTGAATTTCATTTACAAGTATAAAAGCAAAGTGTTCTATGCATCAATTTTTGTTTCTAAAAACTTTCACTATTTTTATAAAAGATTAATTTTTAGAAGTTATTAATATATTATTAAATATTTATAAAAATATTTACTTCTTATAGCATCAGGATTATTACTTTCATTCGTCGTCGTATTATGATTATTATGATCATTCAGTGTGACATTTTCACCTTCGAATTCCACTTCCATATCCATAATTACTCTTATTATTTTTATATTGCATCCGTTGACTTTTATAATAATAAAATTAAAAAAGAAATAAAAAACATGTTGAAAAAATATATATTTAAATGATGAAATTTTGAGGTTATGTATAACCTTTTCAGAGGTTCAAAGCAAACGCACTGGCCAGTGAGGCAGCGACATATAATTTTTTTCAGTGTAGCACCACCTGATAATGTCACGCGGACACCTCGAAAACTTAGTAATCTCCCTTGCGGATGGGTGAACTACGAAATTACGACGAATTCGTCGTCACTTCGTATTTCGTTATAATATTTTACAAATTAGATGAAAACAGTTTAAAAAAACTATTGAAATGAATAAATGAATATCTTAGGATGAAATTAATCTATTTTTTAGGATAAATTAAAGTTAAATTATTGAGAAATTAATGTTTAAAGTAGGAAATGTCAGTTTTAGTGTAGGATGTATGTGTGTGTAAGATCGATATTAGAATAAACTGTTGATATGTCGCCGCGCGTTTTGCGCGACAGATGGCGTAAGTGACATTTGTCCATGGCTTTAAATTACATGGTTTATTACAGAAAAATAAAAAAAGGAAACATAATAAGAAAGATTATTAAGATTGAAAATTTTTATACAATAATAGAAATAAAAATTGCAGAATATTTTTTAGGAAGTTAATTTTATTTATTTTAAGGTTTTATTTAAAAAAATTAAGTGTTAGACTTTAAATAGTGGAAAAAAGTTCATTAAAAAAACTAAAAATGTTAGAAAAAGCTCTTATAATTAATAAATTAACTATTCTATAGTCGATTTATTCATTATTTAAGTTGAATTAAATCGTAAATTGTGCAATTATTAATGATAAATATGCGAACTGTGAGACCTGTCAATGTATTGGTAACATGCGTGATACTTGTAGCAGACTACGATTGACTACAATCATATTCTGAACGGCGGAACGAAAGAAACTGATTTGGATAAACGCGCGAAGTTTCAAAATGATGTGTAAATATAGTAAACATTGAAAAAAATTGCTTTCTTTGATTTAAGAGATATTACTAATAAATCATATCTTTTACTTTTAAAAAATGTTTTTTAAACAATGTGATCAAAAATTAGAAATTTAGCAAAACTTTTTGGATTATTAAAATAAATTAATTTATTTAAATAAATATTATTCATAGCTAAAAATCAGTATTTTACTTAGAAAAATAAATTTAAATAAAAATTTCTTAAACAATTTCATGTAAAAAATAAATAACATGAACAATTAATTTTGATTGAAAATTAATTATTAGGTATTATATTCAGTAGAATATAAAAAATAACTCCTCCTACTTTAAGAAAGCAATTTTTTTATTCGTTGGTTCAACAGTACAAAAAGGGAGTGAATATTTAATTTTTAAAAAGTTACAATTAGTCTTAATTCATTAAGAAACAAAAGCTTCTGGCCAATAAAAATAAGCACCTCCTATTTTCAAACTGCAATTTTTTATTTGTTGGTTGAGTTAAACAAAATGGAGAAAAAATTAATATTTGAAAAATAAATCATATAATTCCAACCCCCCAAAAAAATGGATGATTTAGACCAATTAAAATAAAATTTAAACTCCTCCTTCTTATAGAAAAATATTTTTTATTTGTTGGTTCAATAGAACAAAATGGAGAAAATATTAAACTTTAAAAAAGATAAAATTTAGTCCCAACCCCCAAAAGATAAAATGGATGTTTAAGACCAATTAAATTAAAATTTAAACTCCTCCCTTTTAATAAAAACTATTTTTCATTCGTGGGTTCAAAAGAACGAAATGGAGAAAATATTAAACTTTAAAAAATATAAGTCTCAACCCCTCACGAAAAAAACTGCTATTAGCCAATAAAAAAATCAAACTCCTCCTAAATTTTTATTTCGTTCTTTTGAACCCACGAATAAAAAATAGTTTTTATTAAAAGGGAGGAGTTTAAATTTTAATTTAATTGGTCTTAAACATCCATTTTATCTTTTGGGGGTTGGGAATAAATTATATATTTTTTAACGTTTAATATTTTCTCTATTTTGTTCTATTGAACCAACAAATAGAAAAAAGGTTTCTTTAAGAAGGAGGAGTTTAAATTTTATTTTAATTGGTCTAAATCATCCATTTTTCTTTTTGGGGGTTGGAATTATATGTTTTATTTCTTAAATAATAAATTTTTCTCCATTTTGTTTAACTGAACCAATGAATAAAAATTTAGGAGGAGTTTGATTTTTTTATTGGCTAATAGCAGTTTTTTTCGTGAGGGGTTGAGACTTATATTTTTTAAAGTTTAATATTTTCTCCATTTCGTTCTTTTGAACCCACGAATGAAAAATAGTTTTTATTAAAAGGGAGGAGTTTAAATTTTAATTTAATTGGTCTTAAACATCCATTTTATCTTTTGGGGGTTGGGACTAAATTTTATCTTTTTTAAAGTTTAATATTTTCTCCATTTTGTTCTATTGAACCAACAAATAAAAAATATTTTTCTATAAGAAGGAGGAGTTTAAATTTTATTTTAATTGGTCTAAATCATCCATTTTTTTGGGGGGTTGGAATTATATGATTTATTTTTCAAATATTAATTTTTTCTCCATTTTGTTTAACTCAACCAACAAATAAAAAATTGCAGTTTGAAAATAGGAGGTGCTTATTTTTATTGTCCAGAAGCTTTTGTTTCTTAATGAATTAAGACTAATTGTAACTTTTTAAAAATTAAATATTCACTCCCTTTTTGTACTGTTGAACCAACGAATAAAAAAATTGCTTTCTTAAAGTAGGAGGAGTTATTTTTTATATTCTACTGAATATAATACCTAATAATTAATTTTCAATCAAAATTAATTGAGCTCCCGCGTCCAATAACTCGATCTGCGCTTGAACTGAAAAATTCAAGCCAGTCAAGCCGGCAGAAAATGGAAAAAAATAAAAGTCGGAATTTTTAATTTTAAAACATACTACCGTATAGAGCATAAAAATGCCCAACTTTTTTGTCTTTGAAATTTTTCTGTAGAACTTTTATTTTTAATAATAATGGACAAAAACTGAATTTTTTTTATTCTTCAATTTCATTGAATTTCAAAACATAAATCGACTTTTCTCAAACAAATCTTAATGAAATTAATTAAAAATTGATATACTTACTTATCAGGGTCTACCGAAGACGATGAAGTGATTGAAACATTAAAAAAAGTTTATTGCAAAATTATTTGTTAATATAAATACAGACCTGTCAATAAATACGTTTTCTCAACTTTGACGAGAAAAAGTGTGCGGTGAACTTTCGAGTTGACACAACTTCCAGTGAGACATTTGTTTATTAACATGTGAAGAAGTTTTTTGGAAATTTTTATTTAAATCGGATGAAAAATAAAGAAGATACATAATGTTTAAAAAAATATGCGTCGTGCGGTGTTTTGACATTTCGACGCAAGAGGAGAAAACTATTGGAAACTATTGCTATTTTCTGTTGATTTATTTAAAAATAAGTTTATTCATGTATTATATTTAAAATAAAAACAATTCTATACATTTATAATATGATAGGCAGTAAAAGATTTATTTAGATTTACAACGACAGGAAGAAAAATAGGAAAAAGTTAAACAAATGCGCGATGCATAAAATTACCACCAGAGGGCAGCACCTAATGGGCATATCTAATTCTCATATTTTACTTCCTAACGTCGTGTATTATATTGGATTTTCAATTTCTTGTGTACAAATGAAAAAGCAAATTTTCAGGATAACTGGTTTTTTTCTATTTTGCAATAACTGTCCAAATTAGGAGAAAAATCCTTTTGAAATTACGTTTACGTTCAAGCAGCCATTTTTAAAAGGCGACCACTGTTAGTTTCCAATAGTTTTCTCCTCTTGCGTCGAAATGTCAAAACACCGCACGACGCATATTTTTTTAAACATTATGTATCTTCTTTATTTTTCATCCGATTTAAATAAAAATTTCCAAAAAACTTCTTCACATGTTAATAAACAAATGTCTCACTGGAAGTTGTGTCAACTCGAAAGTTCACCGCACACTTTTTCTCGTCAAAGTTGAGAAAACGTATTTATTGACAGGTCTGTATTTATATTAACAAATAATTTTGCAATAAACTTTTTTTAATGTTTCAATCACTTCATCGTCTTCGGTAGACCCTGATAAGTAAGTATATCAATTTTTAATTAATTTCATTAAGATTTGTTTGAGAAAAGTCGATTTATGTTTTGAAATTCAATGAAATTGAAGAATAAAAAAAATTCAGTTTTTGTCCATTATTATTAAAAATAAAAGTTCTACAGAAAAATTTCAAAGACAAAAAAGTTGGGCATTTTTATGCTCTATACGGTAGTATGTTTTAAAATTAAAAATTCCGACTTTTATTTTTTTCCATTTTCTGCCGGCTTGACTGGCTTGAATTTTTCAGTTCAAGCGCAGATCGAGTTATTGGACGCGGGAGCTCAATTGTTCATGTTATTTATTTTTTACATGAAATTGTTTAAGAAATTTTTATTTAAATTTATTTTTCTAAGTAAAATACTGATTTTTAGCTATGAATAATATTTATTTAAATAAATTAATTTATTTTAATAATCCAAAAAGTTTTGCTAAATTTCTAATTTTTGATCACATTGTTTAAAAAACATTTTTTAAAAGTAAAAGATATGATTTACGATTTAATTCAACTTAAATAATGAATAAATCGACTATAGAATAGTTAATTTATTAATTATAAGAGCTTTTTCTAACATTTTTAGTTTTTTTAATGAACTTTTTTCCACTATTTAAAGTCTAACACTTAATTTTTTTAAATAAAACCTTAAAATAAATAAAATTAACTTCCTAAAAAATATTCTGCAATTTTTATTTCTATTATTGTATAAAAATTTTCAATCTTAATAATCTTTCTTATTATGTTTCCTTTTTTTAATTTTTTTGTAATAAACCATGTAATTTAAAGCCATGGACAAATGTCACTTACGCCATCTGTCGCGCAAAACGCGCGGCGACATATCAACAGTTTATTCTAATATCGATCTTACACACACATACATCCTACACTAAAACTGACATTTCCTACTTTAAACATTAATTTCTCAATAATTTAACTTTAATTTATCCTAAAAAATAGAT